ATTTTACAGATGAAGAAACTGAGGCTGTGAGCATAGAAAGTACTGACTGAGGGTCATGTACATAGTCTGAGGTTTTAGTCAAACTCAAGTCTTCCAGATTGCAAGTCCAGGGCTATTTCCACTGTGCCACTTAGCTGCCCACTCAACTTACAATTTCATATCTCTTTAAATACAAATATTTTATATATAATAAATTTTATACATAATAAAATAAAATATGCATATTATGCCAGTATGCATAATATACCTTAAGTTTTGCAAAGTGCTTTGCATATATCATTTATTTTAACAACCCTAGGAGATAAGTACTATTATTATCCCCATTTTACAGATGAAGAAACTGAGGGCTTAAAGAGTTTAAGTGACTTGCTCAGGGTCTCATAGCTAGTAAGAGTCTGTCTTATATGAACTCCAGGCTATATGTACTACACCACAGAGATGTTTCATAGCCTCAATAAAAGTGAGGTGAGGGGCATTCACCACAGCCTAATGAGGCACTTGCTTAAATGGTAACATCTCAAATATATAGTACTTTTTTTTGTTTGCAACAATTTTTCCCCACAACAATCCTGTAAGAATCAGTCACTCAATAAACATTTATCAAGTACCTCTTTTGTGTCAGTCATTGTGACACGTGCTGGGGATACAAAGAAAGGTAAACAACAGCCCCAGTTCTCTATGAGTGTACACTCTAATGAAGACATAAGAATTATTATTCCCATTTTACACACCAGTTAATGAGACTTTGAAGTGAAATTTGAACCCAGTACACTTGTACCTAAAACCACTATTCTTTGTACTACTCCATTCTACTTCTCCTAAAGCACAGTGGTAGTGAAGGCTAAGTCTGCCTGTATGTCTGCCTACAGTTAGCTTGATATAAGGAAAATTTTCTATGAAATCAAGGAAACTATCCTAAAGCCCAAACCAGATAGCTCATAATATACCAATACAGAGGCGTGGGAATGAGGAGGAACAAATACCTGGGGGAAGATGTTGACAATAGCTCATGCACTTTACAACTTTATATACATGATCTTATGAAATGAATTCATAAACATGATGTGACTATATACTAATGAATCCCATTTCTATAATATACATAAGAAAAACCATCTCCTTATTTTATAGCCATACTTTGTATATCTAGGAATGACATTTACATGGTTCACTCTACCCTTTTTTTAAGAATGATATCCACAGTCATTAGAATTAAGGTGATAATAATAACAATATTAATAATACATAGAATTCATTTAGAATTTTATGATTTACAAAGTGTTTTATAGATATTTCATTTTATCCTCCATTTTATAGATGACAAAACAGAGCTGCTAAGTGTCTGTGACCAGATTTGAGGCATGGGTAAGTTAAGCGACTTGCTAATGGTTACTGCTTAATCTAAGAGGGAGAAATGGGACTCAAATCAATCCAAATCCAATAGACATCACACAAGACCAAATACCTACATTGTACTATGACTAGTATAGTTATGCACACTAAATTCCAGAATTAACGTGTCATCATTCATATGTCAAATATTTAATGAAGAATAGATTGAACAAAAGAGAAAAGAAAAAAGAGTGAGGGGAGAACCAATAAAGTGTAAAAGAGGAAGAGCCATCAGAAGAGATAGAAAAACATGGAGAAGAAGGATGAGGAGAAAGATTTAGAGAAAATCATAAATAGATCCTCTGCTCTGCTAATGTCTCTATTTTTTAAGCCTCATTGATTGTCACTGATGCATGATAGTTAAATATAGACCAGAAGTGAGATTAATTATACCTACAAAAGCTAAATACATATGAATTTTTATGGTTCCCTGGAAGGTTAAGGTCACAAAATTCCCACAGTATTTCATGGATTCAATGCCTGTGCATACTAATGACTCAAATATAATAAAACCTACTAGGATTATATGTGTTTGACAGCCAAATGAGATCACAGATTTAGATCTGAGATTTGAATTTCAAAAAGAAGTCATCTAATCTGATCTCTTCATTTGAAGTTAAGGTAAGCTGGTATATGTTTAACAAGCAGCTCTTCAGAAAAAAAATTTTAAAAAAAGGAACTCAACAAACTTTTTTTTCTTTTTAGTGAGACAATTGGGGGTAAGTGATTTGCCCGGGGTCGCACAGCTAGTAAGTGTCAAGTGTCTGAGACTGGATTTGAACTCAGGTCTTCCTGACTCCAATGCCAGAGCTCTATCCACTATGCCACCTAGTTGCCTCCCACTACACTTTTAACAATGCATTCTTTACATTTTCTCCATCACTTTTTAAAGTCTAGACAATAAACAAAAATAATAAATCAAGCCCTGATTTATAGTCTGCTCATTTCAAAGGTGTAAATACTCACGCTGAAAATTATATGAGCATTTACAAATCATCAGTTTGAGAGCCAACTTGAGCACCTGATATTAAGGCCAAAGAAAGTAAGCTGCTAACTCAAAGTCAAATAGGCGATACAGAGACAGAATTGCATTTGAGCCTAGGTCTCCTTATCTCAAACCCAGAGCTATTTCTTTTGTGAAAAACCATCTCATTCATTCATTCATTCATTCATTTATTGGTAATATGCCTTTTCTGAAGTGGGACTATTTTCAGTTATTAGCCTGAGTGTCATTCAGGTTATAGAGTTATGACATAAATTTCCTTTTGATAAACATATACATTTTCTTCAAAGTTTCATAATGAAAGAATCAAGCAGACCAGGTTTTTAAGAATATTAAGACAGTTGCCTTCAAAAAAAATCATATAGTCTCTCAATAACAGGCAAAAGATATGGGTCCTCCTAGTACAAAATGTTCAGCTTTATATTTGGGTAGCTAGGTGGAACAGTGGGTAAACTGCCAGGCCAGGAGTCAGGAAGACTTATTTGCTTGACTTCTAATCTGGCCTTAGACTTACCAGCTGGGTGACCCTGGGCAAATACCTTCTCCCTGTTTGCCTCAGTTTCCTTATCTGTAAAAAAAAATGAGTTGGGGAAGGAAATGGCAAAACACTCCAGTATCTTTCCCAAGAAAGCCCCAAATGGGGTCAAAAAGAGTCAGACACAACTGAAAAATAACAATATGTGGAACAGTTAATAATTTGGACATAGCAGAGTTGATCAATATAATCATTTGTACATTCTCTGTTCAAACACACATATTTTAAGTGTACATACATATTTATATATATATATGAGATGTATACACATATGTGTACATACATGTGAGTGTTGTGTTTTGTTTTCTTTTTTCCCCAGTGAGAAGGTGATTTAATTGGTATGGAGAAATGCTATTATGGAAATCCCCTGTACAAATGTACATTAGTAAGTCATCTATTACTTATAGAGTTGCTTAGAACTCTAAGATGTTAGTTGACTTGCTCTTGGTTCCAAGGTTCCAAGACAGCATTCAAACCCATATCTTTTATATTTCACGTATCTTTGTGCACGAATGTATCAATATGTTTATGTTTCTTTTACACACATGCTGTGCATGGTTGTATTTTCCTGTACTAATAGGGAGAAAATCTGAAGTTTATTATTTAAGCAAAATCCAGTCTTTTAAATTTATTGTCTAAGTAAAATTAATACAAATACAGTGAAGCCAGTGCTTATCCTTTATTTTAAAATGGAAAGTACAGAAAAATGTTAATTCAATTTTTGTCAACCTTGTATGAAAATTACTATTCTTTCTATATTTGTGTTGTATACACCTATACATCAATAAGGATATAATGTGAATATTCAATACAGTAAGAATTTTTAGTTAATATACTGCTTTTGCAACATCCTAAAGTGTTAAATAAAATTCTTAAAAGAAACATTGATTTATTTGGATTTAGAACAATGCAGTATATGATTAAAATGCTTATTTATATGTATATGTGTGTGTGTGTGTGTGTGTGTGTGTGTGTGTGTGTTTTATGAAGAGTTAAGTCTTGGAAAGCTGAAACATCTTTTATAAGATGTTGGAATTCCAAATATTTGAATATATCCAAGCATATATGCATAAATACAAATATCTATGTATACAAGTACTTATCTAGATATTTAGATGTGATTATGCACTCTGATGGAGGGAAGATCCTCATTGTTGAGATCATATATCCAATGAAATAATTGAAGAATATACATATCTGTGCATATAGTCAGATTTATTTTGTGTATGCATCTATAGTTCTATTTATAGAATTGTATTCATTGATGTTTTCAGATTTTCCATATGTTTGGTAAATTCTGCAAACTAGTTAGAGCTATTTTAGTTAATACACAGAGACATAGACACAGTCACATACATATATATGTTTGTGTATAAATTACATACATACACACATACAGACTGACATACAGACAGACAGACAGACATCTTTCTAGTCATACTTACTAAACATTTTCTTGTGGCTAAGCCATTCAAAATCAAAGAAAATTCAAGATCAAAGAAAATCAAAGAAAATTTCCAGAACCATAAATTCACTTTCAGGAGCTTTGCAGACACAGGTGTACTTGAAGACAAAAGCCCTGTCTATAGCTCTGACCATGTCTAACTTCCTGCATAACAGATCCAGTTGTCACGAGTGCTGTCAACCATGAAGACCAGTTGAGGCTAACTATGTTGATTGGGTCTCCTGAGCAGTTCACTGAATATATTAAAAACAGTACTGCAAGACAATCCTACAAAGGTGACCTACCTTAGAAATAAGTAAGGGTATGACTATGACAGATGACATTTTATGAATTCAATTGCTATTCTTTGCTTCTTTCATTCCTTATATGTAAATATTATACATTTGTACTCTTTGAGGAGTTCTTATTGATGGTCAGTATCCTGGCCCTTATAATTATCTTTAGTATTTCCAGAATTGAAAATTAGTAAAACATTTGAAATCTAAATGTCAACCATAAAAGAAAAAATAAATGTCTGAATTGAAAATTTAAAAAATATATATTATATACCCAATTATAAATTGCTTATTAAATTTCTAAAATTCTTTTAAAAGTTTATTGCTTACCAAAATATCTTTTCCAGCCCACTTGCACTCGTCCCTTCGCGTATGAGAAACTGGCCAAGCAATCTAAAAGTAGAGAATAAAGATTACTCTGGGGCTGCTTAGAAGGAAGGTTCATTTAAGATCATGACTACAATTGCTCTAGTCCAAGCTAGTGTAGCCAAGATCAGTACAGAATAAAAAGCAGATCCCATGGATAGAATTACCCCCTTTCTCTGTGTTTCAAATTCCTATCAAGATATGTCCATTAATTTAATTCAGATTTAGTTTAAACTTTTAATTTAATTTTATTTTTTTAGGAAAAGTAAACAACATGGATATACAAGTTATAAATACATGAAAACATTACTGTTATACTTAATTATACAATTTCTTCCCCTCTCCCCAGAACTTCAGACATTTGAAATTGCTTGCCTTTCAATATATATGAGAAATTTGATCACTTTGTTCTTTATTGTATTCACAATTACCGTTTAGTTAAAAATTATTATTTAGTATGGTAGGACCTTGCTTTTCGTTTAGTCGTCACTTCACCACTTTGTGCCTCAGTTTCATTATCTGTTAAATGAGATGCCAGGACCAAACACCAAATCTATGTTATATAATCACTGAAACATCTATTTATTATTTTAGCTTCAATAATTCAAGATTTTGCAACATTTTTCATTATGAATAATCCCTTTACTAATATGGAGCACAACCTCCTTACAACTCAGCAGATATTCTCTGAGATTTTTTCAGACCAAAAGACACGCTGCAGTCAACCTGATGAATCACTATGAAATGATCTAGATTGATCTTCCAAGCACTTCTGTGTTCAATGTTGAAAACAGAAATTATAAGAATATCAACCTAATCACCAAAGAACAAGAAAATACCAAAAACCTTATCATTAATTTAGATTACTTTGTGAGATTTTCTACTTTGTGTGTAATTTGTGATTTTAACAAAATTTCAGAAGTGGGAGAAATGAGGTGTGAATAAAGTGCTAGGGGACAAGGAGCTCTATCTCTGCTCTAATTCTGCTGTAGCCTTGACCAAATCATTTGTTTATGTTAGATTTTCCTCACTGCCGCTAGCCAGACATTAGAAGAATATCTACATAGTCACTACAAAGACAAAATCATGATTTAACCAACTGTCTAGTGAAATCAGGACAGTCTAAGAGTTGATCTGATAACTCAAAGTCAGGCATAAATAAACCAAATTGCAAAGCAATTATGCCAACATGTTGTTGAACGTTTTCAATGTAGGAGATCATTAGAGAAGTATAAAGAATCTTCTGCATAAGTTACAGCACAAGACCCATTGCTACATTGGTAGAGGTTGCTATCAGGTAAGAAAAACTCCTTTTACTAATGCAGATCAGAAATTTTCTGGAATCCAAAGTCCTAGAAAGTTGCTGAGAACAGCAAGAAGTTAAATGACTTTCCCAGGGTCAAATAGTATATAGCAGAAGAAGGATCTGAATTTAGGTCTTCTCAGTTTCGAGTTTGACTGTCTATCCACCATGAGATAGACAAGTCTAAAGTCAATTTATATAAAAGTATTATTTATGGTTCTAAATGAAGAAAAAAAAACAAAGGATTTGAGAAATTGAAAGTTCTACTAATTAAATCTCACATTCCTAGGCTTGATAAAATAAAATCTAGAATGTTCATGTTACAAAGATTAAGTTTATATTTTCCCCCAGATTATAAATTGCTAGACTATTCCTTAGTTTACCCTAAAATCCTACTTCTAATTATATTTTATTTTGCCTTTGAAGTATTTTCAGTTGAATATTACAGTCATAATCCAATATTATGATCAATTTTACTTCATTATCTGGCATTTTTAAATGAATCATAGCCAGGCTTTATGTGATGGCCACATTTCATTCTTTTTTAATGCCTAAAAGCTTTTCAACAGATAGAAATAATTGTTTCCCATTATCCCTAAATTTTTTTTCCATAATTTTTGCTGAAATTAGATAGAATAACTAGAGTAAGAGTAGTCATACAAAAAAGTAATGCTTTACCCTCATATAGATAAGATTGTTTTCAATAACTCAGTTAATTTAGATAATCTGTACATGACCATGATAGCACCTAGTTTGACGTCATTAAAGAGATTAAATCTGCAGTACTCTAGCCCACCAGCAAAAAATTTCCAAACATCTGCCACCTATTGGTTATACTATCATTCTCAAAATAGAAGCCATATGGGTCCTTTCTTCTGAAACCATAGAATGTCAGAGTTGGGGCTGTGGGAGTAGATGTTAGGGAGACTATCAAGCCCATTCTTTTTTGTTTGTTTGTTTAAGAACAAAACCAAGGCCCAGGGAGGTTCAATGAAGATAGTAACAGAAAGGAGACCTTGAATCACAGATTATGTAACCTCTATACTGTTGTCGTTGGTGTCATCTGGTCATTTCAGTTGTGTCCAACTCTTTGTGACATCATTTTGGGGTTTTCTTGGCAAAGATAACTACAGTGTTTTGTCATTTCCTTCTTCAGCTCATTTTACAAATGAAGAAACTGAGGCTAACAGGGTTGAGTGATTTGCCCTGAGTCACACAGCTAGTGATTGTCTGATGCTGGATTTGAGAATTTACATCCTCTATAGCACTGCCTTCCAATCACTTTGGAGAGCTGCAGTCTACTGCAAAACACCCACATTCAGCTTCCCTTTCATTTTACTCTTCCCCATCCCTTGCTCTCTTTGAGAACATATGGTAAACATTTAGGCTACTTTCTCTTAATCAATAGTTCTGTTCTCTAAAGGATCTACCATCTTTGAGTAACAGACAAGTACTCAGGACAGGGCTATAGAGATGGAGCTGGGTTATCTCTCATTTAAAACTTTCAAATTCATAATCATTAATACAGAGAGAAAGTGGTGGCCAAGACTAAGAATGACATTAATAAATATGAACCTCCATACTGTATTCTTTATTCCTACATCTCTTTCCCCCAACATTTCCAGCTTCCTCTGACCTGCCATAAGCATCTTATCCCTCTCATCCCAGCATTCTATCACTTCTTTCCCTATCTCCCTTTCTTGAAATATCCAGCAAAATGTGAGTGAATTAGAAGAACAGACTGTAATGAAATCAACTATTTAAAACCAGACACTTAGTTAATGGCACTGCCTGGAAAAAATACATAAATATCAATTTATGACACAAGCAATTTCAAATTTCTAGAGTTCTTTGGGAGAGGAGAAGAACTAAGATGTCACAACTTAAGTGCAGCATGAATATTTCCATAAATGTATAATAGTTATCCTACGTAGCCATGCTGTTCAATTTTGCAGGTATTATAGGATCATAGATTTCAAGTTGGAAAGGACTTTGGAAGAGATGATCTTGTCCAATCCTCAAACCCTTCCAGGATTTTTGTTTTTCTGATGAGGCTAGTTGTCTGAAAAATCTTTGTTTTAATGGCAACTGAAGTGGTAAATGAACTCAGTTAAACTCTTTGGATGAAATGTGTATAATTTTATTTGCAAATTAAAAAAAAAACTTCCTAAATTAAGTTTAGAAACATTTTTCTTTCACCCCTTTTGTTACCAAGTCACTATTTCCACTTCCTCACTCCTTTCAAACTCCTTAACCCTTGATTCTGCCTTCTAATACAACTAGAAAAACAATCTTGACTAAAAGCATTGAAATCTGGATAGAAGCTTGGATTTTGAGTCAGGGATACTTGGGCTCAAACCTTGCCTCTGAAAGATGCTTGTGAAGTGATGCTGGGCAGGTTCTTTTGATGGGTATGAGCCCAAGTCAAGACCTTTACTCCTTACCCCAAAAAGAATTTGGGTCCCATTTGTCTAAGAGATTCTCCTTGAATTCTCCCACTTAATGAAGGTCTGGTGGTCCCCTGAGGCTATAATCCTATCAACTGGCCTTTTATTGGCCTATGTCCCAATTCTCTGTTACCCTTAACCTAGCCTAGTCCTCCATTGTCTATTACCTCCTGATGGCCCTGGCTACTTTTCACCATAGACCCTATCTAGACTCCATTCTTGACCTCCCAGTCACTCCCATTAAGATCCTTCCTAGATCCCTCCCACAGTCTCTCTGTATATAAAGTTCATCTTGTCTCCACTAAGGTGCTCAGATTCTTTAAGAACCTAGCTAATAGCTCACAATGTTCAGATTCCTTAAGAGTCTAGCCAATATGGAAGATCTTTAATAAACCTTGTCTCTGGCTGAAAGAAGACTTGAGTTGAATTCTTTTGGGCAGGACTCATGTCTCTTGCTCTTGATATTTTGGGGTCCTAGCACCCCTAAACTTCTGGCCCTCAATATTTTAACCTCTCAGGCCCTCAGAGTTCCTGATCTATAAAATCATAGTTTGGGTTAACTGACCTCTGAAGCCCTTTCCAGTTCTAAATCCATGTTCCTATGAACCCATGGGAATTGACAAGATGTTAGATAGATAGAGAATTGACAAGATATTAGATAGATAGAGAAACAAGAGGGCACAGAATTCTGCAGTTCAAAAAAAATTCTAAAGTTGAAGGGACAGCATAGTGATGGTAATTCAGCTAAGACAAGGAGTGATTATGTTATTTCTCTGTCTTCATCCTCTAGTTTTTCTAGTCCATTCTACATACTACTCCCAGACTAAACTCCCTAAATCACATGCTAATTTTTTTCACTCTCTCCCAATTGTTTAAAAAAAAAAGTCCACATTCCTTAGGCTATCATTCAAGCCCCTTCAAATTCGTGTCTCATCTGCATCCAGCTCTAGTAAATTCAACTACAGCAATTATGAAATAAACATTATGAAACAAAGAACTTCTCTGATCTCAAAGAATTTGCAGTGTAATAAATGAAGAGGATTCAGAATGACATGATTTATTTCCCCACTTTCCCTGAATTTCTTTCACATGTGCACTTTTATTTGAACTATTCTGAAGTCAGTACACTGATAAAAACTCTTTTTCCCAAAGTAGTGGCACCAATTCCATTATACTCCCAGGGAGACTGGAAAAAAAAAAAAGCCTGTTTTCACCTCCTTGTTAAGCAGCAGAGAGAAAAAGGCCATTATAGCTCAGACAACTTAAAACAAGGAACA